GATAGGAGGGCCTGGCGTGCTCTGGTCCATGGGGTCACGAAGAGTCGGACATGACTAAACGACTGAACAAACAATTACTACTCTGTCTGGTGTGTTATGTTCAAGGTATCTATTAGTTTGGATCCGGTAATCCCACAAGATCTTGATTTCCTCATTTTCTGAGACCTTCTGTACCTGATATTCCCATGGGTTTTTGGGAACATCAGGCAGAATTATATTTTTTGCATAATGGCGAGTGCACTAATTTTGCCACTCGATCATATATAATTTTGCAATCTGATTGTGCAGTCTTTGGACATTCACCGATGAAGTGTGACACAGTTTCATCTTTTTCTTGGCAGAGTCAACTTTGCTGTTAGCACTAATTCCTTGGATCTTAGGTTTCATCATGTTGGTTTGGAGTGGTTGTTCTTGTGCAGCAAAAATCAAGCCTTTGGTTTCTTTCTTAAGGGTCCCCAGTTTTAGCCATGCCCATGTTCAATCATCATCTCATCATCATCATCATCATCATCATCATCATCATCATCATCATCATCATCATCATCATCAATAAACTTCAAAAAAAGTGAATTCAATTTCAGAAAATTGCCTTTGGAATCTGAAAGCCCCCTTGCCCAAAAGATGCAAAAGTTCTTCTCCTATGCCCACTAGAGTTTCTGGGGGGAGCCTGGGAATCCCCCCAATGTAAGTGGCAATTATAATTTTAAAATTACTTATTTCAGCATGTTTCTGTTGTACTGTGCTATTCATGATGAAAAATCCTCACTATGTTCATGTGCTGAATTGAATGGTTCACCAAAAACTGAATATCTGTGAAATTATTTTCTACAACGTGCTTCATATTCAAGATCCAATCTTATACGTATACACACTGAACACAATTAAACTTACTTTGAAGTAAATGTATCAGATTGAACAGCATCCATCATGGGTAGTAAAAAGGGTTGATGTACTTGTTCTGAAATTAAACAGAAATTTAGAACATTTTTCAGTAATAACATATTGTCTATTTTGATTTTCGTCTGAAAACTGGAAGGCAGGCTTTATGTTAAAATGTCCACTCTGTTCTGTAGCAAAAAACAGATGTTCATTAATAAACAGACTGGCCATAAAACATTGGAACTGCCATCTGGATGGGATATTATACAGGAGATGCTTTGTCTCTAATATTTCCTTTGGTAAAATTCTGGTGAGAATCAAGTGATTTTATTTTTAATTTACAGACAGAAATATGATTCCACCATTACATATACATCAATACCAGTTGGACAATAATGTTTTTTTAAAAAAAACTCATTGTGAACATGCCATAGTTTTCTCAATCCTGACCTGCCTATGGTAGCTAAGTAGATGCTTTCTGATTTTAGAAATATGTCATTAATTATTTCATACAGACATTAGAGGATCTGGTATAAAACTTGCAATCATATCACAAAGTGTTCTAACCAGTACATTTTTTCCTGCAGGGAACTGAGCACTGAGGGTTCGGAAAAATTCATGTACTGCACCCGCACATGCTTCAATGGTAGAATAAGTCCTGTTCAAGTGTTTGGGACCCCTTCATGGATTGCTGCCTTGTCGCGGCGAAGGGGCTTGAGCAACTCAGAGAAGCTATGGGCTATGCCGTGCAGGGCCACCCAAGGCGGACAGGTCATAGTGGAGAGTTCCGACTAAACGCAATCCACCTGGAGTAGGAACCAGCAATCTGGACACAGCAAGAGGGGGAGAGAGATTCCCCTCTCCACATCCTGGGTGAGCCTTTCACCTGGATCCCCAGCTGTGTGGAGAGTCTCTCTACCTTTTGCTTCAGGCTGTCATTCTCAAGGTGAACATAGTAAAATGGAATGGGATGGAATTAGTTCTCTCTCTCTCTTCCTCACATGTTCCAATTAAGCATTTCTAAATTCACAAATAGAACTATGAGTAGCAGTTTGCACAGATCTGGTTTACATATAGTTGCCATCACATGGAGTTCATTGTTAATTACTCTGTTCTCGGGGTATCAAGCTCATGATGAGATGAAGAACCATCATTCCTATCTCTCCCCACCAGTTATTTGGAATTCACTTCCAAGATCTCTAGGGGTCATCCTTTAGTTTCGCACTCCTCCAACAACTGGTTTTGGTCTCAGATGGGAAAAATTACCTTTTTGAACTACAACTTTTGGATAATTTCACCCATGTGACCCTGCCGCTTGGAGTTAATATGTCTTTCAAAAAGCAACAACAAACTTCTTCCATGGCTGCTTCTGAGGGAGAAGAGTTAGTACAGAATTAGTTATGGTTCTTTTATACTGTGTCTATAACCTACATCTCGAAAATCCCTTAACAATTATGTCCACTTCTCTTTAAAGTTATTTTTCTTTCCTGAAGATCCTTTCTGAGGCCTCTCTCAGTCTTCTGGAATGTTCTTACCCAAATGCGTAATACCTACTTACTTCAATTTCTGTTAAATCATTTCATTGAACTTTGTGTCGAGCACCTTGGAGTTTTGCTTAAAATCCCCCATACTGTCTGTACTTTGCGTGACTGGGAGGGATTTATCTGGACTGAGATATTGCAGTTACAATGTTTGTTCTGCATTTAGGCAAGGAAGACAACTGCTTCAGATTTTTCCATTTTTGTCCATTACACAAAAACCAGCAAAGCCTTGATTTCCCTACCCCCCCACCTCAATCAAAGAACAATCAGGTCAAACAAAAAAGGAGGGGGTGAATGCATGATGGGGAGAGTTGAACATTTAGGGTTCTCCAGTTGCGAACATTCAACTGAGGGTTTTGAAATAAAGCTAGTTATGCTATATATATTGGGATTTGAATGAATAAGTATAACCCTCAGCATATATGGCACTTTTTTCTTTTGATCAAATGATGATACAATATGGGGAGAAATACACTGCTCCCTAACCATATCTTTTTACTTTAAAGGAGACTAAGGCAACAGTTAAAGACTTGGATCCAAAATATACTTCACAGATAAGTCAGTCACTGGAAGCTGAAATCTCTTAGTGTTTGAGATACATGATTCAAGTAGACCTACATGATTCAAGGTTTGGAAACTAAACATTTCTGGCCTCCCAATGACTGATCGTGTAACAAAGCAAGCTAATTTGCACAAATGGATCTGTGAAAATTTCCTACTGGACATTCTCAGTATTTAAGGAATTCTATCTCCTAAAAACATTGCCCATAAGATTTTGGCTGAGTCAGTAATGAGTCTAACGTAGTGACTAAAAATGTAAACTGGTTTGAGCATTTAAGGAAGTGTTGCATAATTGTTGTTGTTGTTGTTGCTGCTGCTTAATTGCTTTACTTCTTCTACTTCCTTCAATATTAATTAATTTGCCACTTTATTTCAGTTCCATTGCAAAAGTTTTATAAGAACCAGCCCTCTTCCAATTCACCTGTCAGGTTACTTTGGATTAACCATTGAACAATTTATGATCAAAGTTATTCTGAATCATACATTTCTTCCACAAATATCTTCCTATTTTAAATTGCTGGTGGTATCATGGGGGAATGTGACAACTGGGCAGCCATCATTTATTGCCTCATACCAAACACCATATGGACCAGGAGCTCGTTTCATGAGCTATATCTCTCTGCTTGCCTAGAGGGGCTTGTGTGTGTGTGTGTGTGTGTGTGTGTGTGTGGGAGCTGTATCTCTCTGCTTGCCTAGAAGGGCTTGTGTGTGCGCGTGCGCGTGTGTAGTGGGACAACTGTAGGTCTACTGTCAACAGTGCTTTTCACATGACTACACAAAGCTCGCTCTGTGCAGTTGTGTGTGCGTGTGCACGTGTGTGGTGGGACAACTGTAGGTTTACTGTCAACAGTGTTTTTTACATGACTACACAAAGCTCGCTCTGTGCAGTGCTGACTTAGTTACTATTCCATTCATCTTTTTACACAAATGTTTTGAAAACTTCCATACAATCACCATCAGTCATTCATTATCAGCTTTTTCCAGTCGACTGCTGGGCAAGGGTTCGTGTGCACGTGTGTGGTGGGACAACTGTAGGTTTACTGTCAACAGTGTTTTTTACATGACTACACAAAGCTCGCTCTGTGCAGTGCTGACTTAGTTACTATTCCATTCATCTTTTTACACAAATGTTTTGAAAACTTCCATACAATCACCATCAGTCATTCATTATCAGCTTTTTCCAGTCGACTGCTGGGCAAGGGTTTCCTAGATTCCTCTGGCCCCTTGTGCTGGAGGGTGTTTGCCAGCACTGTGCAAAGCCCAATAATCAGTGCCAGTTGGTGAAGCTCTGAAAGAGTTTGCCAGCTTCTCCTCCCTGGTGTCTCAGATACAATAGAAGAACCGCCCAAAGACTGATGTCCTATATGAAATGAGATGGGCGTTTATTTGCTTTTGGGATAAGCTTAGGAGAATGATGAAGGAACATAGCAAAGAACCCATATATCTAGGGTCTGAATATTAATTTAAAGGAAGAAATGTGGTGGCACTCCAGCATGTATTCCCCGTTCTTGTTCTCTAGTGCCCTGTAACAAAGAGAAGGACAAAATACAAGAATTCCTCAATGTTTTCCTTCTTATGATAATGGGCAATGATTTTTTGTGGCTGTTATAAAGTTGCCTCTTAGTTAACCAATAAAGGGTAAGAGGAGTGGTGTAGCCTGAAACAGCAAATACATATGTCACTAATGCTGCTTTATTTCATAGCACATAAAGAATTATTTCAATTAACATTAAGTTGCATGCAATATTCAGTTGATGGACCTTAGGATAGAAATGTTGTTCCATGTGTCTCTTCTGAATACCTTGGCAGATATGTACATTCTTTAGCTTCTACGATTTGTGCTTCACAGTTCCATGTGAGTTAGGCTCTATCCATTTGGGTTGACTCTGTTTGGGGCACTTCAATAGCTTACCAGAGGATGAGCCGCAACACATGAGCTGCAGATTCAGGAGTCAGGCCTCCATAGGGCAACTGCCTTTTAAGAAGCAATGCTGAGTCTCTTGCTAAATTCCAACACCGCTGGTATTTATAACTTGCAAAACTTTTGTGTTTGCTCTTTTAACACAGTGAGGCCATCTTTATTTTTTATTTTTTTTAAAAGCCCACTTCTCTAGATAGACAAATCGCCTCCAGGAGAGCTGCAAATGAAATCCAGGCTCCATAATAGATGGTGACTTTTTGAGAACAATATTTATTCTTCCCTTTCTTTTTCTCTCCCCACACCCGCCCTGTATGCCATCGCTGGCCTTCAGAAGTCAACTTCTCCATTCCCTCTATATGAAAGGATCTCCCATGACACCTATAGACCTTTCATAATGGATAGATTCTTTCAATGATACAGACAAAATGAGTTTTCCTAGATGGCACAGCCCCACTCTGAGCTGATAACTTAAGACTCCAGAACTATGGATATTGCTGTGATTACGACTTCTGCACTCTGTGGTGTTTCAGGAACTTGTGCATCTCCTGCTTTATGAGATATACTTGGCCTAGGGGACCAGAGTCGAAGGATGAGGGAGAAAAGAAAATGCATAATGGTATGGCCTCCAGCACTATTATTTATGACAGTATCCTTCCAGCAATCGGTGCTTGCATAGGGTGAAAGCATGGTTTCAATTCTGCCCTTGAAACATGGATTAAGCAATGATGCTAATACATATTTGTCCCTGCGGCTGTCAAACATTTCACTGATACTAGACTCTGTAGACAGCTTAATAGCTAGGTCTTCTGTCAATGTTACTGCAGCAGTGTCTCCTTTGCTTTAAGATGCCTTTCAGATTTATTCAAGCAATAGGTGTAGCCTGATACTTGGTAAATAGTAGCACCTGCCTGCATACGCTCACCACTATTCACTGGCTTCCTAAATGGAGGGTGGAAGTGTGAGTTCCAAGAAGTAGCAAGAAGGGAAAATTGTGAAGGTGATCGATCTCTTTCTCTTTTTCATGCCTCTTGCCCAGTCAAGGATGTTATTGCACCATAAGG